AACAACAAAAAAAAAGACAAAAAAACAAAAACCTGGCCCAGAGATCTATGTCTCAATGGTAATCAATTGGGACGTTAGAAAAAAGCTTGCCCTCAAAGGTCCTATGCAAATTCTTCAGCATCAACACCAGTGCCCTTGGGGGTACCGTATAGTGAAGGTACTATACGGCCCTCTCCCAGAATTGACTAGACTCTGAGGGGTTCTCTTGTAAACTGCTATCAGGAATTCCTTTAAACAGCCAATGGGAAACTAGTATTAAAATTAATGGGAAACCTTGCCAAATACTAGTTGATACCAGAGCTATGCTTTCTCCTTTAAACTCCACTCTCATGAGACAATAAATCCCTCAGAGTGAAAAAAAGTTTTGGTAGTGGGGTTATCAATAAAGTTGACAGAGAATTTCTATCTCAATCAGTACAAATGACTCTGGGATCTCTTGCTGAAAATCTTCCTTTTGTGCTGTGTGATACAGCCCCAGTCACTCTATTAGACAGAGATCTCCTTTCTAAATTAAAAGGGCTAATACATTTTGCTTCCAATGGACACCTCATCTTAGAGTTTCCTGACCAACCTGAACCTGATCTTTTATGCTCTTTACAATCTGCCCTTGACGCAGAAGAGGAAGACTTCGAACAAAAGTTCTCCAATATAATTGAGGTGCCTGAAAACATGGGGGCAACTTTTAATACTCACATTGAGAGACTAAAAAGTGCAGTGTCTATGAAGATCCAGATAGACCTGCCTAAACTTCTTAAATTGACTCATTATCCATTAAAGCCTGAGGCCATACAAGACCTCACATCCACAGTAGAAGACCTACTCATCCAGGGGCTAATCATTCCCTGTACCAGCCCCTGTGAAACACTGATCTTGCCAGGTTCAGAATCCTAATGGGAGGGGATGGCGATTTGTCCAGGATTTGAGAGCTACTAACAAGGTAGTTACTCCCTGCTTCCCATTTGACCCAAACGTGAACACTGACATCAGGAGAGCACTGAAGTGGGAATGTGGAACTGAGATCCCACCCTAGAGCGAAGAGCTCCCTGGCCCTGAAAAATAGCTCAAAACCTCATAAGGAAGAAAATCTATTCCTGCCACAAAAAGGGCAAGATCTGCCAAAAGTTAAACTCAAAAAGAAGGTGAGATATATGTATCAGTGTCTTCACCCCGGAAAACTAATACCTGAAAATTTTTTTGCAAAAACCCAAGTCAGAGTCAGCCTCTGACAAAGTCCAAATCTACGTAAAATCAGAGCTTTCATCACGCACAGTATAGACTCTGGAACTCAGGAGAGCAAGACAATCCTCGGCCCACTTCTAGGGAAGAAACTGTGGTTTTAGTATGTACTGCAAATATGGGAGGAGAGTCAGCTCAAGGAATGATTCCAACCCAGACAATGCCCATGAATGTATATTTTAGTGACTATATGACTTCGTCATACCTCAAGCAAAGAAAGTGATGAGCGCTACATCCAGCATCCAAAAAGTCACCTCTGAGAGCCAGAGATTTCTCTTTCTCTATGGATTCTCTCTCCTCTTTCTTCTTCCTTCCTGCTCTCCCTCCCTGCCTCCCTCCCTCTCTGTCATGTCAACCCAAGCCTTCATTAGGCTCCTGGATTCCACAGGCCAGTCTTGGAATGGAGATGCAGGAAAGAGACGAATGGGTGGAGGAGTTTTGAAAAAGAGAAAGAAGTTCCAATGGTAACTCAGGTTTTATCTGACTAACTCTCCAAGATGAGAACTAGGAGACTGATTTACATGTGGTGAAATTAGGAGTAAGGGATTTATAGGAATGTTTGAAGAGTGTCCTTTTTGGCTAGAGTCTGGTAATTTTAGATTCTGAGATCATCAGGAATTAGGATACAAGGTCAAAAGTTCTATGAGTATATTATAAGGGCTCACGCATGTGCATTGCTTTATATTTACCAAGTGCTGTCACAGGCAGAATCCTCTGTAGGGCTCACAATATCCCTGTCAGCAATGCAGGCAACTTGCCATCTCATCAGAAGATTCTGAGATTTAAGGAAATTACCAGTGTGTCCAAAGTCAGGACCAGAAAGTTTTGCTTCCAAAACCAGCCCCTACTCCTCCCACTACATCACAACTTTCCCCTAGTAGAGAAAACCCTTTTCTGACTCCATTTTCCTTTAATTCCCATGGATGGACAGACCACAGAATGGGAGAAGTGTCCCAGGTTATGCTTCTTTCCTATGACCCCCCTCTAAGGGGTCTGCTATCTGAAAGTGTCACTTGGAACCCCATAGAAAGCAGAGATTAAGGGGTACCCTTGGGGGTCCCAGAATTGAACAGATAGACCCTTACCATTCATATTAGTTTTCCAGGGCTGCCATAACAAAATACAATAGCCTGGGTGGCTTAAAAAATAGACATTTATTTTTTCACACATCTGGAGGCTAGAAGTCCAAGATCAAGGTGTCAGTAGGTTTGGTTTTTGTAAAAGCTCCTCCGGGGCTTGCCAAGGGCCACCTTCTCAGTGTGTCTTCACATGGTGTTTCTTCTGTATGCACATAGATCTAGTGTCTCACTTCTGTTCAAATTTCCTCTTATAATTACACCAGTCAGGGTGGATCAAGACCCACTCTAATGGACTCATTTTACCTTAATCACCTCCTTAAAATCCCTATCTCTCAATATAGTCATCTTCTGAGATACTGAGTCTTAGGGCTTCAATCTACCATTTTGGTATGACCCAATTCAGCACCTAACACTCAGTCTTCTGTACCCTCCAAATTCATGCCCTTCTCACCTTCAAAATACATTTGCCCCCCCACTCCAACAGCCTAAACACCTTAACCCATTCTCATATCAATTCTAAGTCCCAAATCTTACCTAAATATCAGCAAAGTCAAGTGTGGTTGAGACTCCAGATATGATTCATCCTGAGACAAAGTCCTCTCCAGCTGCAAACTTGTGAAAGTGGAAGTTATCTGCTTCCAAAATACAGTGATTGGACAGGCATGGGATAAACAGTTCCATTCTAAAAGTGAGAAACTGAGAAGAAGAAAGAGTCACCTGTCCCAAGCAAGGAAAAATCTAGGAGGACAAATTCCATTAGATTTTAATGCTTGAGAATTACTCTCTTTGGCTGGATGTTCTGTCCTCTGAGCCCACTGGGGTGTGATTCCCCTTCTGTACCCCCGGAGCAGCATTGACAAGAGTGGCTTTTCAAAGACAAAGCTCATTAATCCTCTCTTCCCCATACATTCTGCTGGCTAACATGTTCCATCCCAGGTGTCTAGTTGTTCCTCTTCCTCTACTTCCACAAAATCAGAACGTCCCATTACAATACATACAATTTCAACTTTATGGCACACATTCCATAATTTCATTCAGACATTTTGTGTAGAAGAACCAGCTGCAAGAGTACAAGTGTGTTTATACAAAACTTAACCACAAATGAGTTTGAATCACATGAGCAGATGGTGAGATCCAGGTTTCTCACTGTTGGAGAGAGAGGTTACACAAGAGCAAGGGCAAGAAGCTAGAATGATCCTTGTGTGATGGCTTAGCATCAGAGAGATCAGTATGAACTAATGTTAGCTTAATGTAGATTTGGATGATTCCATATAGACATATTTATAGATATGTGCATATGAGTGATGAAGTATACACATAGATATGTTCTTACTCTTTGAGCTGAGAGGCCATAGGAACAATAACACCCCAGTATCCATGAGAACACCTACTGTCCATACCTTGGTTCATAACACCATTCTCCAAGGAAAGAAACCAGGACTCCTTGGAGAAATGGCTGAATCTAGGACTAGGACAGGACATATATAATCATGGAGAATCATGTAGTACTACGAAGTGAGAAAATGCTAAAAATTGAAAAATAACAATCATGTGCTATGTCAAAGAGACAGAGGAGTTACCTGATAGAGCTCTCCATGGTCAAGTTGGAACAAAGTAATTAAAAAAAAGCAACTTGGATTGTAACTCAAAGTATAAAATAAATGTGCATGATTCTAAACTGATATAAATAAATGATTGAAGAAATAATTAATTCATAGAAATTACACAGATGTCCTTTTCAGAAGAATTCCATATAATTTATGTCGAAACTTTATCTTTAAGGAGGTGAAAGATAACATCCCACTCAGCAATGTGGGCTGTGCATAGTGACTTCCTTCCAAAGAGTACAGTACGAAAAGGGGACAGCAGTCACTTTCAGTGAGGAAACCTGACCCACACTGTCTCATCCAGGGATCTAGGTTAATATCAACAGTGACAAGTCATCTTGTCACTTGGTTGAATGTTGGTTGATATGATGTAATGAAAATGACACTTCATACCCCTGCAGTCTTCCTCCCCCAAACACAGAACCTCAGTATAATCATGAGAAGCATATCACATTAATCCCAACTGAGGGACATTCTACAAAATACCTGGCTAGTACTCCTCAAAACTGTCAAGATCATCAAAAGTGAGGAAGTCTGACAAATTGTCTCAGCAAAAAGAAGCCTAAGGAGATGTGATTCCTAAATGTGACTTGGTATCTGGATGGGTTCTTGCAACAGAAAAAGGATATTACGTCAAAATTAAGAAAATCTCAATAAAGTATTGATTTTAGTTAATAAAAGTGTATCAATATTGGTTCATTATTATAATGAACACATATAAAAATGTAAGATGTTAATAATAGTGATCTTGAGTGTGGGATATATAGAAACTCTGAATAATCTTTGCAATTTTTGCAAATGTAAAACAGTTCTAAAATAAAGATTATTTTAACAGCACACTTAACCAGAATAATAATTCTCGACACATAATTGAATGAATCAAATAGGCTTCTTTGTTCTGGGATGCCCCTCACAACAAGAAACAACCAGGATGGTCTGTGGTTGCTGTTAGGGGAAGGAAAGACACATCCTCCCAAGAAATGGTCAGTGCACACCTTGGATTTTAACAATATGTTTGTATAACCTCCCACTCCCATCATTCTGATTATCTAAGAAGCTGATAGGAGACAATGTATTTCTGGGGAAAGACAGATTTAATCATCAAAGTTTCTAATCAAGACATATGGAGGTTACGGAGGCAGTTTCAGACTTCTGACTCATTTTTTTTCTATACTTTTTATAGTAAAATGCACAAATGCTCAGAGTGCAAATGGTCTAGAAAGTTTAAAACCTGACATACATTATTTTCAAGAGCCAAAATGGTGTGGTTGGTGTCAGCTGAGAGGTATATCGAAAGCATCATCAATGGTAAGTCATTCTTCGGTTTTTGGATGGAATTCTCTGTATATATCTACTAGGTCCATCTGTTCTAGTGTGTCATTTAAGGCCAATACAATGTTATAAACCAATGTTACTGCAATAAACAAAAAATTAAAAAAAAATTCAAAAAACAAGAAACAATGGTAAGTCATGATGTTAGTCTGAGAGGAGAGTCAGGGGTCCCATGAACAGCTCAAGGCCTCACCAGTCATGAGACAGAAGTGTCGACTTTTACCAGTAGTCCCATGTTGGCCATGCAGAGGTAGCTGCTGCATCAGAAACAGGCTGAATTGGCAGATTGATTCTGGTCAGTCTCTTCAAAGAACAGGTCCTTACCATGGGCATCTAAATGAGTGACCCAGACAATGATTTCAGCACTGTCATTTGTTTCCACAGTTCACAGCCCAAAAGAAGGGTGT